CACCCCCACACACCACACCCCCCCACACCCCACCACACACCACACACCCACCCACACACACACACACACCCCCCCCCACACCCCCACACACACACCACACCCCCACACACCACACCCCCCCCCCACACACAACCCCCACACACCACACCCCCCCACCACACACCCCCCCCACACACACCACACCCACCACACCCCCCCCACACACCACACCCCCCACCCCCCACACACACACCACACCCCCCCACACCCCCCACACACACACCGGCCCGACCCCCCCCCACACCCCCCCCCCCACCCGGCACCCTCCCCACACAGCACACCACCCCCCCCGGGCCCCACACATCCACCCCCCACACCACACACACCCCGACACCCCCCCCCCGGGCCCCACACCCGACACCCCCCCCCGGCACCCCCCCCCCCCGGGCACCCTCCCCACACAGCACACCACCCCCCCCCGGGCCCCCACACCCACCCTCCACACACACACACCACACCGACACCCCCCCCCCCCGGGCCCCACACCCGACACCCCCCCCCCCGCACCCCCCCCCCGGGCACCCCACCGGGCACCCCCCCCCCCGGACCCCCACCCCCGACACCCCCGGACCCCGGACACCCCCACACACACACACCACACCCGACACCCGCCCCCCCCCCCCCGGGCACCCCCCGGGCACCCCCCCCCGGACCCCCACACCCCGACACCCCTCCCGGACCCCCGACACCCCCCACACACCACACCACCCCCCGGGCCCCACACCCCGACACCCCCCGGACCCCGACACCCCCACACACACACCACACCACACCCCCCCCGGACCCGACCCGACCCCCCCCGGACCCCCCTCACTCACCACTCTCTGCTCTCAGGTCCCGGCAGCGCCCGCGGTCCGCGCCAGAGATCCCGTACCCGCGCAGCAGCCGCAGTGTCACAGCAACAACATGGCGCTGACACCCGCCCCGGGAGACAGGAAGAGGGCACAGAGAGAGAGGGACAGAGAGCAGCGCACTGAGAGAGGGACAGAGAGCAGTGCACTGAGTGAGGGACAGAGAGCAGTGCACTGAGTGAGGGACAGAGAGCAGTGCACTGAGAGGGACAGAGAGCAGTGCTCTGAGTGAGGGACAGAGAGCAGTGCACTGAGTGAGGGACAGGGAGCAGTGCACTGAGAGAGGGACAGAGAGCAGCGCACTGAGTGAGGGACAGCTGAGTGAGGGACAGAGAGCAGTGCGAGAGCAGTGCACTGAGTGAGGGACAGAGAG